ATTTTTGAATTTTTATGTTGTAAATTTGAAATTTGGTGAAATAAATAATGATATATGCTGTCTCTTATACACATCTAGATGTGTATAAGAGACAGGACATAGGGCCTACTTTCATTTATGTATAATATTACTTTGATTAACTTAAATGTGTTTTCGAAGCCAATTGGAAGCAATAAAACCTACCTGCTTTTCAGAATTGAATTGTCAGCCAGAACGCAATGAATTCTGTTAGGCATAATTACTAAATATAATATATTGACCACATAAAAATAAATTAAAGGAATATTTGAAATGTATATATTGTGATAATTAAGTTGATAGTCTGGAAAGGACTTAAGGATATTTGACATTTTACATGAGCAATTTGGTGTTTTAATTTACAATCAGAAGAGTTTCTAAAATGTTTCTACAAAGAGTTTAAGGTAAACGTAGGACTACGTCATGATTTCTACTGGCTTGCCGTTCGCAGTTGATGTCCTGCCATGTGACGCGGTCGTCATAAAATCAATCGTCTTTGGAGCACTTCGCAAGGATCTTCAAACACGTGGCCTAAAAATAAGAAACTTTTGTCGTACCCAGAATCTTTGTGATCTAGCTGCCAATGAAAATATGTCAAAACGTCTCGTAGAAATGTAATGAAACTAATCAGAATTTTTTTTTGTAAACGGTATTTATTATTATTTAATTATTGAATATAATCATAATATAATATTCAAAAAGCCAATGCTCGTGTGATTATGAGTTTCCAATCAGGTTTGCGCGGCACGAGGTACATGGCATACCTGCTTCGACTTCAAATCCTACACCTGCTATTCTGTTCTTACTACTTGTGCTACCCATTAGAGCCAAACAATATTTATTATCAAATATTATATATTATTTTTCTGAATTTGACTAACACCAAAATTGATCACAGTGAAAATAAAAATAGTGAGCGTATCATATATACCACAAGAATTAGCTTCCCAAATTATTCATAATCGGACATTCTAATATGTCAAATGTAAGTTCAAGGGAACTATTATTAATGAAATTGAGATTAATAATAACCTTATTGCTACAAAAACAACAGAGACGACAATAAAAATTTAAAAAAAAAATGTTTGGATAAAAATAAATAAATTGACAGCAAAAAAAAACCCCATCTGTTAATCGAGTAACGACTGACATCCAGTTAGATTGATGCTCTTTTTGTTGTGTTTCTTAAAATAAACCGATATGCTACTAATTGTATACCTATGTTGACAAGTTCATCGATCAGTGTGTCCCCTTGAGTTATAATTTGGCAGTACTTCGTGCCGCATTCAAGTAAACCGGTCGAACAAACCATCTGACGAGAAAAAACAGCGCATGCGTATGCTCGAATGGTTTTGTATTGTTGTATACGGTACCGGTATCACATATTGGGTGTACCAGATTGATTAATTGATTGATAGGTTGTTGGTTGGTTGGTTGATTGATTGATTAAATGATTTTACAAAAATTGGTTTTATATTAAATTTATATTAGGCTTATCATAGATCTTTCATAGTTTTTGTATACTCCTTTTCACTTATAATTTGGATTATGTATGATGTTTTAATTTTACTAAAGAGGGCCATCGAATATCAGCTTCCCTTAAAGGAAGCTGGATAGGTTACCCTCTTAAAATATTTTTTAAATAAAAAAAATACAAATTTGCAAATCTTGGATAGGTTAACATTGTCAGTATTTCTCGAATTACCACGTTGTAGTAATGGCAATTAGTTTTAACATTTTCATTGGGTCAATATTTCCGCCAAATTTATACCTATTTTTCATTAAAATAATTTTTAATGATTTTAATTGTAATAAAAACATCTTTTATTATATTGTTTTTAATGCTTTGAAAATGATAATTTTAATATTTCTGTTGTAATAAGATAATCTGGCAATATCTTAAGCATTTTTTAATTAAAAAAATAAGGGTCTTGCTTCCAAAAAAAATTATTCAAGTACTGAAATTATGATAATTATTATGATAATGATTTTAATTGTAATAATAATATTTTATTGGCCTATATGGTTTTTAAGTGCTCTGCAAATAATAATTTTAATAATTCTGTTGCACCTGTTTCTCGGTTGATGCGCATTGCACACCTTGAGCAACCCTACCATGTACTGCTGAGTAGTAATAAAAACATCTTTTATTATATTGTTTTTAATGCTTTGAAAATGATAATTTTTAATATTTCTGTTGTAATAAGATAATCTGGCAATATCTTAAGCATTTTTTTATTAAAAAAATAAGGGTCTTGCTTCCAAAAAAAATTATTCAAGTACTGAAATTATGATAATTATTATGATAATGATTTTAATTGTAATAATAATATTTTATTGGCCTATATGGTTTTTAAGTGCTCTGCAAATAATAATTTTAATAATTCTGTTGCACCTGTTTCTCGGTTGATGCGCATTGCACACCTTGAGCAACCCTACCATGTACTGCTGAGTAGCTTTGTATTTTTGAATTTTTATGTTGTAAATTTGAAATTTGGTGAAATAAATAATGATATATGATGTGATAACCGACTATGTAAAAAGTGCATCATAAGACAAACTGAATAGTTTCATGGATTGACAGCAGCTTAGTTCAGTCGGCTGGTGGTAGTTACTTTGTGTGCGCTGAACCGTCTATTGGTGCCAGGTTTAATTCTCATTGCTGCCCTCTCCTTGTATTTCAGTTGGAAGGCTGAAATGCAAGTTAAGATAGAGCAGACAGGCTTTCGGGTTAGACGTGACGTTGGTCCCGTGTGCATTATAACATGTGCAAATTAAAGATGTACTGTCCCTTGAAAATGACCAAAATAATAAAAAATAATTTTTAAATTATCATTTTGTAGCAACATACAAATTATTAACTTGAGCATAGAAATTATTTATTTAAAAAATGTGTTCCCTGATTTTTTAACTGGATAATTATAATAAACGTAATAAAACACTTCCAGTGACTGGAAGTGTTTCTATCATTTTTTCGCTGTAAAATTATGGTTTTTTTATGGATAAGCATTTTTTAAATACACTAATTTCTATGTTCAAGTTGATAATTTTTATGTTACTTCAAGATGGGCAAGTAAATTTAAAAAATGATTTTTATTATTTTTTTTTTGTTTTTCTGCGAGGGACAGTACATCTTTAAAGAACGTAGTAAAATAGGGTTTTTCCGGGTGTACTGCCCAATCACCACCAAACGGACTCTACTGGAAATAGGTCTTCTTTAGACTTTCGTGGGTTATCATTGTTGTCACACCGAATAAATCCATCAATTCATCCATCCAATAAGGATTTTCGAATGAAAATTAAATTACGTAGCCAAGGCAAAAATAGTGGATTCGTTAAATTGGTACCATTACATCACTAAAGACCCAGGTTGTAAAATAGAATACAGTAGGGCCATGTTGTAATCTGGAGTCTTGTCGTTTAAAATGCTTAAGATGAGAACGTTATTATTGTCTGCATTCTTATCTCACTGCATAGCATTATTGACAGAAATCATTTATAACTTAATATTGCTTTTTCCATAACTAAAATCGGTGTTATGAATAAAATATTTGTTAAATGAAAGCAACGTTCTTTGTTTTTATTTTCATATTATAATGGTTAAACAACTTTACACAATATTGGAATAACGTGCTAAATGAATTTAATGTGCTTTTTCCTCTTATGTTATAGCTTAAAAAGCTGCAACAATCCAGAAAAGCTATTTATTGGTAAAAGTAATATATTGGTTATTATTCTTGTACCATGACGCTGAATATATAGGCCCTATAGGCAAATCATGACTACATATGAGCATGACGCTGAATATATAGGCCCTATAGGCAAATCATGACTACATATGAGCATGACGCTGAATATATAGGCCCTATAGGCAATCATGACTACATATGAGCATGACGCTGAATATATAGGCCCTATAGGCAAATCATGACTACATATGAGCATGACGCTGAATATATAGGCCCTATAGGCAAATCATTACTACATATAGACATCACAAGTTTTTTGTCAAAGAAAATTTGATAGTGTGGACAGAGCTTAAGCAAAGATAATAAATAGCCGAAGGTAGCTTCCCAATATAGTGGAACATCCGTTCCAAAGGCATTGTGGGTACACGGAGAGCAATTTTACCCCGTCCGCACGGCTGCGCTATATAGAAATAATAAACAGCAATAAAGGCGCCGCTCTGGTTCGTTTGTTTCCTGTAGTTTTCCACTTAGTAAAATGTTCAAATTTTACCCCATTCGCGGGAGGGCGGATGTTCCATCAATTTTAATACAAATACACGGAGCAGTTCATTCTTCTGCTGTTTAAGTTCTTTGGCTTAAGTCAGTAGCCTGATTTACAGGGCCAAATCACATTACACATAAGACTTTTGTGGTTAAGGGACTAAAATCCTACACTTCGGACCTTTATTACAATTAGGGAGAGATCTTTATATATATGCTAATACATTATCTTTAATCTTGATATTCCAAGATAATTAAAATATATTTGATCATTATTTTGATGATCCTCTTAAAAATACAAACATTAAAAATCAATCAGTTATAGCCTATGCCCGTTAGAACAATAATAGCAGCTTCCATGGTGCCTTAGACATCTGGACATTGTACCGGGTCCTTACGGACCCACGGGCCCGCAGTCATAAGCAGGAATTCATCCATTAGTTCTGATGCTATGCATCTCGAGCATTCCAAGAAAAAATAATGGAATTAATCAATTAATTGAAGATACTTGATATA